TCCGTAAGTGGCTGGCTGTGCGCCTTGATTAGCGCCTGGTGGAGAGCTCACTGGGGCATTCTGCGTAGGACGTACTGTAGCATCCTGCATAGGATTTAGTGTAGCTCCCTGTGTAGTACTCTGGATGTTGGTCCCCATGTTGGTGATGTTCAATATCTGAGGCCACTGCACCCTCCTCTCCCCCTGAGCCCAGTTCCAGTTCCACACGTCAGCTGTCTCGTTCCACCTCACGTCGGGTAAAAGAGATGCATTCAGGTTGTCGAACTGTAGATTTACAATTTATTTAGACTGAGATATAGAAGCACCAAAACTGTTGTTTTACCCCATATTGAGGGGCATAAGGACAGCAAGATAATGGTTAGGTGTAGTGTATGTAATTATTTTAGTATATTTGAACTATCATTATATCTTTGAAATTTAGTTATTAGCATTACATTTGGACGTTTATAGAAAATAAGTAAAAAAGTCGGAATTTTATAACTCAAGTTAATGTAAATACCAGCAATAAAATTACTAATGCTTTAGCAAGGGTTTATATGCAGTTCTTTTTTAGAATGCTAAACTGTAACTAAATTATACTTTAGAAATTGCAAATCTCGTGTGTTTTAAATGTTTATCACTATTTCTGCTTTCTAAATGAGTGGGTACATTGTCTTAGAACCGTGGACTTTCAGCGATCATCATCTCCCCTGCCTTATCCTACTCCCGTAGTGTCAGCGCACCGGGTTCTCCAAATAACTCTATCATCCGTTATCTCAGTCATCACTCCCTTCTTGATCATGTTACCTTTCACGCAATCCATCCAACTCTTTCTATGTCTACCTCTACCGGTGTACCTCCACACTCATAACTAACGTCCTTGTTACATACGATTCATCCTTTCAAATAACATGTCCATACCACTCTAACCTTTTACTCCTTATTTTCTCTACTACTGGGGCTACTCTCAAACTTCCTCTAATATATTCATTTCGTATCTTATCCATTCGTGTTACCACACATCCAACTTAACATTCGTAGTTCTGCAACATGTATTCTCCTTTCATCCGTTCCTTTTATGATTTTATAAACCAAATGCTTGTCTACAATCAGTAATGATTTAGTAACTTATAGCATCGTCAAATGATTTTTGTTTTATAAAAAATAAGTTAGAAATATATCTGCGTTTTCTCAGCAGGTTTTTCATTTGTTTGTGTACCTCGGTAAAGTTATAAACACTGCAATTCTCCATAAGCTGTTTGTAATTCTCTAGAGCCTGTCTCAGACCGTCTAAATACTGCGCTCCTTTATAAACGTAACCGTGAACCTGCAAAAATATCCCCTCATCATTTATAATTATGATTTTGAACCGAAACCTTGTTATTTCAGCAACCACCTTACTTTACTTGTATCTATTGTTAAAAGCGTGAACCTTTGAATAAACTATCGCATAACTGTTTAGTCCCGCTTTAATTCCTATGAGCTTATATGGAACAACTACTCGATTTTTAGTTGTACAACTAAATAGTTGAATTGGCAGCGAAACAATCGCACAATAGTTGTGCGAGAGTTTAGTACTAAGGTATGCGTTGTAAATTCAATAAGAAAATAATTAAATCTTTCCATATAGTTACCAATTATGTAACTTACGGTGCACCTAATTTAAAAAAAAATCGGTTGTAGAATTTTATTTTTATTCAATAAATATTAATTAGGTGGTCTTGGTTAATAAACTTTAATTTTTGTAACTATTTTAAGCTCGACGCTTGTCGCGTTTGAATCTTCAACCAAATGATCGTTGGTACCCTTAACCATTGGACTATTGCCACTTTCATTTTAAAAAAAAACGGTTTTAAACCGATTTCCTAAATGTTGCTAGCTATGAAATATGCCAAAGCTTTTAGTACCATTACCAGATAAAAAAATATTAGTTTAAAAAGTATATTCCCATTGTCCTTTAAACGTTAATTTTTTTAAGTGCTTTAATACCTTCTTTTCCATATATCCTTGATATCCATACTGATGAGCGTAATTATGTCCGCGATGCGCCTGCGCTTGCGTCACCTCCGCAAAGCCCTCATACTCATCAGACTCATCGTAATAATTATGATAATGTAATTGCTCGTAATCTTCTTGTTCCTTCTGTTTGTCCAGAAATTGTCTCACTTCATCCAAATCGACCGTCCAACAAGCGATCTCCGTAAACGCGATCACAAACCATAAACACAAAAACGCGGTACTTTCTGTCATTTTTCGCGCCTTTTTAAATTAACACAAAAGTTTACATGCGATCTAATAAAATTTGAACGATTGTATACTAATGAATAATTAAAAATATGTTTTATTATAAACAAGCAACGAATTAGTTAGTTGTATAAGGTTAGGAGTCCAAACTTGATGTGAGCTTGAACAATTGTCCTATGTTGTGCTCCGCCACACAAATATTATAACATCACAAGTTACGTATAAGATAAAGAATTTCTTAGTAAACAATACAATTACATGATATTAGCACTAGTTTAACTACCCTGGTTTACTTTCTTAGTATTTTATTTAAACGAATTGTTCAAGAGAACAATCTCTTTTTATTACTATATTTGAATATTTAAAAAAGAGTCGTTTATTTTTTATTGAAGAAAAACGAGTATTTCCATTGGGATAAAACTTACCTTTGACTAAAAATGTGCTGTGCTGGAAACAAAATGAGAATTATCACATTTAATTAAATTCTGGTCAAAGAATATTTTTTTAAGAAGATTCTCTGACTAGTATTTTTTTGTATTCTAATTAGAATAGCTATAGTATCATAAATACATACAAACTTAATGTTTTATATAAATCTAAAACAATACCATGGTGAGCGTAGCTATGTGGTCTTTACAAATATGTTTCTAATGACGCCAAGTTGAAGAATTAAATTTTTATTTCAATAGATCATGTTTTAGAATGAAACTATTGTTTCATTAGTTTATAAAATGCTTCGCAGTTTTCGGTTTTAACATGATATTTATAACCAAATAAATAAGGCGAAAGATTATTGAATAATTTTTAACGACAAACATTTACGTTAGAAGGCAACCTTGCCAGGAGGCAAAACGGAGGTACGTGGTCTCTGCCTACCCATCTGGGTTACGCGCGTGAGTTGTTTTTCGTCAATCTTGATTATCAAATCCCTGATAAGTCCAATATCCCAGTACCTAGGACATATTGACACAGTTGGCTGATTTTTTTAACACTTTTGCCTTAAAAAAAAAACAAAAATAAGAACTCAACTGACAAATATAACCTCACTTTTTAACTAAAATAATATTAAAACAAAATATCTAAACACATTACTGTGTAGAATCGCTGCATTCGACTGTTTAATTATAAAAAAACCTAACGGATATCCAAGTAGCCGGTGGGATGTGGTTTTTGCTGCAATGCCCCGTTTCCCGCGCTCATTGTTGTTCATGTGCAATGCGTTTTCCTTCGTTGTATTTGTGCGTAAATGCAGTATTTCTTTGTTATACAGAAAATCTTTCGAATCTTCACATTAATATCTGAATATTTAAAAGATTCGAGGTTTGTGTTGATTTAAAAATCATTTATCCTCGTTACCGGGAAAACGAGAACTCCGTCCGTTCGTAATTTGTTTAGGTAATTTAGAAAGTGATAGATTTCAGAGTGAAGGATTCTCAGACATATGCTTGCTTTTACGTAAATTAAGTGCAAAATTATAACCAAACACAATATAATTGTTTTATTGTAAATACGAAAGTTCGTATGGATGGATGTTTTTTTTTTAATACGTAGCAAAACATCTTAACGGATATCGATGAGTCACAGATGTAAACCATAGTCTGAAAGAATGCCTACTGCAATTTATTTTATTTCGCGCGGACGAAGTCGCAGTCAAAATCTAGTACATCGATAATCTCGTGGTAGCACAACACTAGTTATGCAACATGAATTAGCGTTTTCTGTTGTTTAAAATATTCAATTACAGACCTTGACCGTAATTTAATTTTTTTTAAATTGATTTAAGAATCTATACTGGTATAAAAATGAAATATTTGTATTTCTGTATGCATTAAATGAAAAAAATTATTATGAAGATTTCATATATAAATGCGAAAGTTGCGGGTTTCTGTTTGTCATAGATGTAGAGGATAGTCTGGAAGAACACATAGACTGTTTTTTTTTTTTATTCCACGCGAACGATGTCGCGAGCAACAGCTAGGACTCAGTATATTTGTGCAGTTACTATTGTTAACTGTAATTGGGGTAAAATTAAACAATAAATTTAGTACATTATAATTTATTACAATATCTAAGCAACTTACTCGCTAATGTAAAAGCTGAAGAAGTCAAACATAACTTTCTTGTAAAACCAGCCGGCGTTCAACCTAGCGCACTAATTGGCACATTGTACAATAACATTGCACAATTGTAAACATTCTGTTTATAAAATCGAACAATGTGAAAGCACAAAGAAAATTGTTAGTGGAGGACATGAAAATTTAGTCATACATTTTGTATGAATTTAAATGGAAAAGCACAAAACTAGGAATATAATTCAAAATATAAAATCACTGGCTTATTCATGTTAATTGTGTCTTGTTTGTATGAATACTGTGTGAGGTGTGTGAGGTGTGTGAGGTGTGTTAGCCCATCATGGGGCGGCCCATTCCGCGGCCGGGCATCTGCGGCGGAGCCTCACTCTTCACGTTTTTAATCGTCTCATCTATAGACAGTATCTGTAACAAATAAATCAAAATAATTATTTAATTCTTAAAATTCCAGGAAACCAGTGTTTTTGAATAATTCATTCTTTAAAAAAAAAGCTCTACACTTACGACAGTCTTTAGGCTAAATATTTTCACGCTATTAAACTTAGGGAGTTAATAATTAAAAAAAGAACACCATCTGAGAAAGGGACATAAACTACAAGCTACCAACATTAAGAAAGCAAAGTTACAATGGTAATTGTAATTTTGACATTTTTAATTAAGAATTTGACAAATGTAAACAATAAAGTTTACATAATACATCAATTGTGCATTTTACAGTTAAATTTGCATGATACTCTGTGAACTATGATGTGATGTGGTGGTATGTGGTGTGATGTGATGGTATGTGGTGATATGTGGTGGTATGTGGTGTCATGGTGTCATAGTGTCACCTGTGTGGCAGCCTCGCAGGCGGCGGTGATGGCATTGATCTTGACAACCGCGGGCTCCCAGACGCAGTTCACGTAGTTGTCAGCGATGTCCTCCTTCTGGATGTCGATGCCGTACCACACGTCACCTACACACACACACACAAATGGGATATAATTTTAGTATAATTTAATATTTGAAGAATAAGTAAATAAACAATAAAAACTTTAATAAAGATTGCTTTTAAGCATTTTGCACTGTTTTTTACTGTTTTGTTGAGTTTTTAACACTGATCTGCTTTAATGACTAATGACTCGTATCTCAGAATTTAGCCATTTAAGATGCAAATGGCTAAATTCCGAAATACAAGTATTTACTTAGGATCAACATGTAATTTTTATAGACTTTGACTTGATAGATACTAATTTGTCTATTTATTTAAATGTATCGTTAGAAAAAAATGTATTTCTTGTTGTATATCGTATGTTAATGTTTGATGCGACTAATCTTAATGTATAAAGTTTTGTGTTGCAAAATTTGCATTCCAAATATACGACATAGCCATTGGTGGTGTTTCTAGTGTCTCGTGCATTGCTAGTGTCTCGTGCATCGCTAGTGTCTCGTGCATTGCTAGGTTTTCACGTATCGCTAGTGTCTTGTGCATCGCTAGTGTCTCATATATCTAGTGTCTTATGTATCTAGTGTCTCGTGCATCGCTAGTGTCTCGTGTATCTAGTGTTTCATGTATCGCTAGTGTCTCGTCTCACCGGCGTGATGCCGCTGGCGCAGCTTGTTAAGCAGTCCAGTAGCGTCGAGCCCAGCGTTGTCTGCAAGCTGTCGCGGTATCGCTTCGAAAGCGCGCGCGGCCGCCGCCACCAGCAGCTGCTCCTTGCCGGCCACGCCTTTAGAGTACTCGCGGAGGTGTTTAGATATCTCTATGTCGATTGCACCACCACCTGCAAGTAAACAGATATAGGAAACTCCACTCCACTTTGGTATTTAAATAAATCTTTTTTTCTGATAAATGACGATATCTAACAAAACCATAAAGTTTAGCATCTTCGTAGCAAATAAACTAAAAAAATATTGGTGCAATATCAAAATATCTTTCATAGTTTTTTTTCTACATTATCTTTGTTTTATGTGAAGATTTTTTTCCAATTTATTTACCCATTAAGTTTGTTAGCGTAAAAATATACAGCCTGAAGCGTTTGGTAAGTGTAGGAATTTTTATTAAAGAATTTTTCAACATATGCTGTGATTGCTGACATCTTACACCACGAATTAGTGTATTTCACTTTATACTAATATTATAAAGCGTAAAACTTTGTAATAACTGAAAAACAACTAAGCCGATTTTAAAAATTCTTTCACCGTAAGAAAGGTAATTTATCTGTGAGTAACGTAGGCTATTCTTTTCATTTCTTTATTATAGTTTTAAAATTTCACGCGAGAGGCTTTGCCAGCAAATAAATTATATTAGTATGAAAAATGTCTATTTGTGATACATTACCCGCGACAACGGCATCATTCTTGATAGTTCTGCGCACAATCATGATGGCGTCGTGCAGCGAGCGCTCCGTCTCCTCCAGGAACTGGTCTGCACCTCCTCGCAGCACCATCGTGCACGCCTTCGCAGCCGGACATCCTGCACACAACATACTTATATTAAAAACGCTTATTTATTAACAATTGCACAAATATTACAATAAATATACTGAAACTACGCTACTATTTGTGAAAAGGCAGCCTTTGCTTGAAACACTGAGAAAACATAAATGCCAAAGTTTAGATGGAAGGATTACAAAACTACTCAACATGATCGATATTTTTTTATAAATTCCGCACGAGTTCGAGGGCAAAAACTAGATTATGTAATTGAACATAAATACATTTCAATCATACTAAATTTATATTACTATATAACAACTATTCCAATACAATATTTAACAACTTGTAAAGTCTAAATTCTAAATATAATGTACTATATGTAAATTCCCTCACCCTCAGGACCATGTTTTATTCCACCTTGCATACAAAATATTATTAAAATTTGTTAAAATATGATAGTTAACAGAAAAAAAGAACTTTTATTGACTACTAAGCATTGTTATTTGAAAGCCTTTTAAAAAACTACTATTGGAACTAAAATTCCTGTACAATACACGCTTTTAACACACTTTTTCAGTGCCTTATAGATAAATCCATCCCAATTTATCTATAATACAACTTTTTTAGGTTTTTTTTATATCTTAAGATGGCAAATGGGCAAGCGACCACCTGAATACACTAAAGTGGCGAAGCGACAGCCCACAGACATTGCATTGCCTACCCTTAATCGACGGATGAGACAAACATAAAGATAATATTTCCCCTTTTTATATATCTTCATCAAATTCACTTTCCCTTTCTTTAAAAGTGGAAAGACTAAATTGAGGCCTCCAGCACGCACATTCATCAGACTCTAACAGTGGTAGAGCCCGCTTTAATATCTCACAAATGTGTCGGCTCGCCCCCAGCAATACCACGACCACACAGAAGATAGGCGTGAAATGGAAGAAATTCC